GCCAGAATTACAGGCATGCGCTACCACGCCCGGCTGATTTTTTGATTTATTGTAGAGATGAGGTCTCGCTGCCCAGGCGGGTCTCGAACCCACGGGCCCTTTGCACATTTTTAAACGGGGTTTTCTTTTTGTTGAGTTGTAGGAGTTCTTATATTTTCTAGATAAGTTATCAGATGTATGATTTGCAAATATATTCCCCCATTCTGTGGGCTGCCTTTTCACTCTGTTGATAGTGTCCTTTGCACATTGTTTTTGTCTTTGATAAAGTACAATTTATTTATTTTGCTTTTGTTGCTGTGTTTTTTGTGTCATACTTAAGCAACAATTTCCACATCTTAGGTCATGAAGATTCCCTCCCATGTATATAACAGTTTTGTAGTTTGGAAATGTGGTCCCCGTGTTCTTAAGTTTTTGATCCATTTGGAATTAGATTTTGTAAATGGTGTGTGTGTCAGAGCCTTGACCTGCTGGGCTCAGGCCATCTTTCTGCCTCTGCCTTCCGAGTAGCTGGAACTACAGGCGCACGCCACCACGCCTAGCTAATTTTTTGATATATTGTAGAGATGAGGTCTCACCAAGTTGCCCAGGCTGGTCTCGAACCCGTGAAGTCAGTCCACCGTGCCTGGCTGGTGTGTGTTTTATGTTGTTTTGTGCTGCTAGAACAGAATACTACAGCCTGGATAATTTATAAAGAACAGAAATTTGTTCAAGTTCTGGAGGCCAATATCAAGGCAACTGGTGAGGACCTTCTTGGCTGTGTTCTTTGGTGGAAGACCATGATATTATAAGGTAGCCCTTGTTACTGTAAAGAGAATCTCTGTGACCTTCTTCCCTCATTTCATGCTCCCAAGGCATGACTCTAGTCTGATTATTGGGTCATAAGACCCTCATTCCAGAGAGGGTCCTGCCTCATACCCTGGAGGAGGGAATGCTGCTCAGACAGACCAAGAAGAATCTGGACAGACAGGCCTTGCTGGGTTTCCCTACTCATTCAAATGTCCGGTTGTCATTCATGCCTATCCAATGAAGTCTCCATAAAAAGCCCAAGAGGACAGGGTTCAGGGAGGTTCCCGTAGCTGAATACAGGGAGGTTTTTGGAGGGTGGCGCACCTGGGGAGGGTATGGATGTTCTGCACCCCTTCCCCATATCTCACCCTATGCATCTCTTCACCTGTATCCTTTTTTTTTTTTTGAGTTGGAGTCTCACTCTGTCACCCAGGCTGGACTGCAGTGGCTCACTGATGGTCTCGACCGGCTGGGGTCACGCAACCTTTCTGCCTCAGCCTTCCGAGTAGATGGAACTACAGGCACGCGCCACTACGCCTGGCTAATTTTTTTTTTTTAATCAATATTTTTTATTATGATTTTGTGGGGTACAGTTAAGGGTTAGGTGTACAATTACGTTTCATTCAGGCACCCTGTTGATAAGAGTTGTTTCCCCATCCCCAGACAGATATTTGCGACTGTTAATCCCATCCCCCTCCCCCCCAATTTTTAATTTATTTTTTATTTACTTTAAAGATGAGGTTTCGCCAACTTGCCCAGGCTGGTCTTGAACCTGTGAGCTCAGGCAGTCCTCTCACCTCGGCTTCCTAAAGTGCTGGGATTATAGGTGTGAGCCACTGCGCTTGGCCATCTGTATCCTTTATATTATCCTTTGTAATAAACTGGTAAACATTTTCCCCTAATTCTGTGGGTTCAATGAATAGCAGATTAACTGAACCCAAAGAGGGGGTCATGGACACCTCAATATGAATGCAGTCAGTTGACTGGTATCTGAAGTGGGAGCAGTCTTGTGGAACTGAGTCCCCACCTGTGGGATTTGACACTATCTCTAGGTAGGTGGGGTTGGAATTTTATTTTATTTTTGTATCGGAGTGTCACTGTGCAGTGGTATGATAATGGTTACTGCTGCTTTGACCTCCTAGGCTCAGGCAGTCCTTCCACCTCAGTTTCCTAAGTAGTTGGGACTACAGGCGCGCATCACCAGGCCCAACTAATTTTTTGATTTTTTGTAGAGACACAGCTGGGCACGGTGGCTCATATCTATAATCCCAGCATTTTGGGAGGCTGAGGTGAGAGGACTGCCTGAGCTTAGGGGTTCGAGGTCAGCCTGGGTAACTTGGTAGGACTGCATCTCTACAATTAAAAAAAAGGGCCAGGCGTGGTCACGTGTGCTTGTAGTTCCAGCTACTTGGAAGGCTGATGCGCAAGGATTGCCTGAGCCCAGCAGATCGAGGCTGTGGTGGCTGTGTGTGTGCTACTGCCCTCCAGCATGGGCGACAGAGTGAGACTCCAATTAAAACAAAAAAGGCAGGTGCAAGGCCGAATATCACCCCTTAACTATCGTAGAGACAAGGTTTTGTCCTGTTGCCCAGGCTGGTCTTGAACTCCTGGGCTCAGGCAATCTTCTCAGCTTGGACTCCTGAAGTGCTGGGATTACAGGCATGAGTCACCCCATCTGGCTTGGGCTTTTTACTAAAACAAGAATTAGGTTTTTGCTCCTTGAACTGAGTCTTGACTAAAACACATTCTTCCCATGTGTCCTGTCAACTAAACCTGTCCATCAGGTTGTATTTTTGCATCTTGGCTGTGTTCACCTGAGGCCTACCCAGTACTGCCTTTCTGCACTGCTTTCTATTTCTCGGTATAATTCTCACATTCCTTCTTCCTCCTCACACTTTTCATTCTCATTATTCTCTAAACACAAAACATTAGACTTCATCAAATGTGCAAGTTATGCTAGCTTCTTAATGGTAGGATTGGTTGAGCCCAGACCTTCAAGACCAGCCTAGGCAACTTAGTGAGGGCTAATCTCTACAACAAAAAAGAATAGCAAGGCGTGGTGGCACATACCTGTAGTCCCAGCTACTTGGGAGGCTGAAGCTGAAGGATCATGCTGGCCCAGGAGGTCAAGGCTATGGTGAGCTGTGATCATGTCACTATACTCTAGAATGAGTGTCAGAATGAGACCCCAACCCAGAAAATAAAAGCAAAGTTCTGTTCATTAGTGATGCCACTAAGATACAGAAAAGACCAGAAGCAGACTGGAAGAAGATATTCGTTCTTTTTCCATAGGATCCACATGAGAAGAAGGATGAGAACTCCCACAAAGATGATTAAGGGTACTAGAGCCTAGTCCAGCAAGATACCCAGCTCTGAAACCTGAGTGTGGTACCCCTCCCCTGAACATGCTCCCCCACTTCCTCCCCCAGAGGAATCCTTAAGCCTAATGCCAAAGTATTCATAGTCCAAGAACTCGGTAGCTTTAACTGAAAGGTAACCCAACCTCTGAAGTACATTAAGCATGAACCCTACTTCACTGTATATTCTGGATCTTTTGCCAACCTTTGTAGGACATGCCACACCTCCATCCTCTGTGCCTAAGGTTCTCCACCTGGCTTTACCATCTGCCCTGGACATCCACAGCTGTACTCATGAGCGTTCTGATCCACACTCAGCTCTCCAAGGCTCCTCTCCTGGACTCTATCCCTTTCTTCAGTCTTCCAGAACTTGTCCCTGATGTCTAGCCATCCCTTCCCACATGTTAGGTTCTCCCCTGCCCATCAGCCCCTCCTCCACCTTTACAAACTCATACCCATGGGCTTGAGTCCTCCATCCATATTCTCCTACTGCTCCTATGGGCTCTTGTCCTTTCCCTAAGATAATTCTCCCTTCACTCTAGGACTATCTTAAGATAGCTCAGGTCTCTTCCCTGAATCTAAATGTGCCTTCAGCACTCCCAGGACACTCCCCAGCCCTTTTCCCAGCACAAGTCCTTTTGTGCAGTGGAACACATCCTGGACTTGCCAGAGGTCTAGTCTGCGAGCACAGTTCCTTCCTGAAAAAGTCATGTCTGAATATCCAACAAAAAGACCTGCTCATATGTGATTTTATTCCTTTATTGTTTTTAGTTGACAAATAATAGTTGTATTACATTTATGGCACACAATGATATTTTGATACAAGAATACGATGTGGAATGATTAAATCAAGCTAATTAACATCCATGATCATTTTTTGTAGTGAGATATTTGAAATTTACTCCTATATATTGTGGATTGTCTAGTGACAGCACATTGTGGTTTTACTTTACCTTCATGAGCAATAACATTGGACACATTTTTAAGTACTGGCCATCTGATGATCTTCTCTGGTGAAGTGCTTGCATTTTCACTCCTTTTAACTGATTTGTTGTTTTATAACTCGAGGGATCCTTTTTGTTTTCCATGTGAGTTTCTTTGTCAGGTGGAGCAAATACCTTCTTCCAGTCTGCTTCTTGTCTTTTCTGTATCTTAGACATCACTTGAAACAGCATTTTGCAGTTTTGATGAAGTGTAACTTTTTATATTTAGTGTTTTTTGTGTACTAAGAAATCATTGTCTAGCTCAAGGTTGTGACAATATTGTCTTGTTTTCTTCTAGAAGTTCTATAGTCTTTTCTAAACACATTGCACCCACAGGGGGTCTTCTTGTAATAAGACTAATAGCAACACTAATGGTAATGATCATAAGAACCACAGCTAATATTGAGCTTACACAATATTCCAGTTACACTGCCAAGGACTTCACATGTACCAAACATTTAATTTCCACAACAGCAGTTGTGGGTCAATGTGAGTATCCCTATGTACAAATAATGTACATAATGTACATTTGACACACAATGCACAAGGGTATAAGCAATTTGCCCAGTGTCTCACAGGAGTAAAGTAGAGGGATGATGGTGGCAACTGGTAGGGTAAGTACCATGACCAAAGGCTTTCCCACATACATTACATTAGCAGGGTTACTCCCTAGATGCAATGGAATAAAGATGGAATGGTATTGGTAGTCTTTTATGCAGTCATTAAACTAAGCTAAACAGTAACAGTGTCCACTCTGTGAATGCTGTGATCATTAAGAAAAAGTGATTTCTCCATTCTCCAAATTTGCCTCTAACAAGACTTCTGATAGTTTGTAAGCAGAAGAATGACCAATGAAGGTTTTCTTGTGTTAAATTGTATCATGAACTGTCGTCCTCTTGTTGAGAAAGGAATGTATGTAGTTTAGAGGCCTTTGTACACTCTTTGCACAGTAATCCCCTTTTATTTGAGGGGGATACCTTCCAAGACCTCCGTAGATACCTGAATCCATGGATAGCACTGTTTTTTCCTGTGTGTGTATATACATATACACTATATACTATATTTTTTTCTGTACATACGTATCTGAAGTTTAATTTAAAAGTTAGGCACAATAAGAGATTACCAACAATAACTAATAAAATAGAACAAGTATAACAATATACTGTAATAAAATGTGAATGTATCTCTCGCAAAATATCTTTATTGTCATGTAGATCGTAGCAGCCTCAGCCTATTATTTTTTCCCTTTCATTATTAAGTAGAGAATTTTCACCTTTCACTTACAAGGAAGCACTTTATGGCTTCTCTTTGGCATATGTGAACTGCCAGCATCACTACTCTTGTACTTTGGGGTCACTATTAAGTAAAAGAAGGGTGACTTGAACATAAGCACTGCGATACCACGACAGTCAATCTGAAAACCAAGACGGCTACCAAGTGACTAACGGGCTGGGTAGCATATACAGCATGGATGTGCTGGACCAAGGGATAATTTATACCCCTGGCTAGTTGGAGCATGACAGCACAAGATTTCATCAAGTTACTCAGAAGAGCACGCAAGACTTATACGTTGTTTATTTCTGGAATTTTCCATTTGATATTTCTGAACCATGGCTGCCTGCAACTGAAACCGTGGAAAGCGAAACCACGGTTAAAAAGGGACTACTGTACTCAAAAGGTTTTTCAACTGTTGTGAATCCTCTGGTGCTCTCTAAGATGGTTTGCATGATTACATGCCTTTCCACATTCCTTACATTCAAAGGATTTTGCCCCAGCATGAGTTTTCTGATGCTGTGTAAGCTGATGGCCATGACTAAAGGACTTGCCACATTCCTTACATCCATAGGGTTTCTCCCCTGTATGGATTCGCTCATGTTTAACAAGGCTTGACCCATAAATGAAAGCCTTCCCACATTCTTTGCATTTATAAGGTGTTTCACCAGTGTGAATTCTCTCATGCTGAGTAAGGTGATAGCCACAATTAAAGGCCTTCCCACATTCTGTACATTTATATGGCTTCTCACCTGTATGAATTCTCTCATGCTTAACAAGGCTTGAACCCCAACGAAAGGCCTTCCCACATTCCTTACACTCATGAGGTTTCTCACCAGTATGAATTTTCTGATGTTGAGTAAGATAATTGACTCGAGTAAAGGCCTTCCCACATTCTTGGCATTCATAGGGTTTCTCACCTGTATGAATTCTCTTATGTTGAATGAGGCTTGAACCACAAATAAAGGCCTTTCCACAGTCTTTACATTCGTAAGGTTTCTCCCCACTATGAATTCTCTTATGCTGAATAAGCTTATACACACGGCTGAAGGTCTTCCCACAGTCTTTGCATTCATAGTCTTTCTCACCAGTATGAAATCTCTGATGCTGAGTGAGTTCATCACCACGTCGAAAGGCCTTTCCACAGTCTTTACATTCATAGGGTTTTTCACCAGTATGAATTCTCTTATGAATAACGAGACTTGAGCCCCATCGAAAGGCCTTCCCACAGTCCTTACATTCATAAGGCTTCTCACCAGTATGAATTTTCTGATGTTGAGTAAGTTGATTACCCCAACGAAAGGCCTTCTTACATTCTTTACATTCATAAGGTTTCTCACCAGTATGAATTTTCTGATGCTGACTAAGCTGATAGCCACGACTAAAGGCCTTCCCACATTCCTTACATTCATAAGAATTCTCCTTACTATGTCTCTGTTGTCTAGAAGATGTACTTTCTCTATTTGAAGGCCTTTTTACATAGCTGATTACCATTCGGTTGACATATCTCTTTTTCGAGCGCCGTGGTTCTTCAAGTGTACCTTCACATATCCAGTTATGGCCAAGGGACTTCCTTTTTCTTTCTGAATTTCTTTTGGAGAAATTTATTCCACGGATATTTTTTTCTGTTGGTAAACGCTTAGCCTCATATGATGACTCTAAATCTGGAAGAAAGTAACATTTTATTTGTTTCCTTTAAAGGAAGACAAACAAACCTAACCACAACCCAAAAACTTGTCTAGTAGAAATAAAAATTCCTTAGTAGAATAAATGTGAATCACCTAGGGCTCTTGTTAAAACGTAGCACCACAATACTTAGTGGGGATATATTGGAGGCATTCATTCTAAAGTCAAACACGAAAAAAGTTCTATTAGAGGGTATATCTCAAAAACGAAGATGAAAACAAGTATAATTTATAGATGATGTAATGACACATTTGGAGAACCCAAGAAATATAGAATCACTATAAAAATAAGAATACGAGCTGGGCTCGGTGGCTTAGCCTGTAATCCCACGCTTTGGGAGGCTGAGGTGAGTGGACTGCCTGAGTCGTGGGATCGAGACCCGCCTGGGCAACTTGGCGAGACCTCATCTCTACAATAAATAAAAAAAAAGCCGGGCTCGGTGGCTCAGCCTGTAATCCCGTGCCTTTGGGAGGCTGAGGTGAGTGAATTGTCTGAGCCCGCGGGTTCGAGACCCGCCTGGGCAGCGAGACCTCATCTCTACAATAAATCAAAAAATCAGCTGGGCATGGTAGCGCATGCCTGTAATTCTGGCTACTCGGAAGGCTGAGGTGGAAGGATCGCCGGAGCCCAGCAGGTCGAGGCTGCGGTGGTCGGGAGCGGCCACTGCACTCCAGTCTGGGCGACAGAGTGGGACTCCAACTCAA